AGTAAAGTAGGGTACGTTTTTAGTACTGTCCATGAGATCGCTGTTCTTAAGATAAAATCTGATTGCAAGTTGCGGAAAATTTTTTCTCTGCACTATGGACTAGGAGTCGTGGAATTGATCCATAAGTCACAATAAGCTTTACCCACTTCGTATCCTTGGTTTCTTCCATACTGTTGTAGTAACTTAGACAATGTTGGAGCAATTGCATATAAAGAAATTTTAAGAGAGATAATCACTGATGCCTTGTCAAGGATTATTTGTGAAATATCTGGTAAAGAATTGACCACACAAAATAATTAGATCTACTCCAAATACTTGGCATTCTGATTTTGGAAAGATAGCTGTTTGCAGCAAATAACTAGAAATTGCAAGGAGACTGCTGATGGAATGTTTTCAGGCCACTAAAATGTTAAAGACACCTGATTCACGCAATCATTATTGATTTCATGTTTGGTCCTCATGTAGGCACGTGGAGAAGGTCCATTTAATGTAAAATTATGGGTTGCAAACATAGTCGACCTCGCCGAATCCCCGATGATCACAGCACGGAGCATGGAGAAAAATGCGCTAAAGGTAAAACTTGTAAATCGGATCAGAGTTCTGAAGCCGAACCGGCAAAATCTCTAAGAAATCCTGTCAAAGATGCCGATCGATATTGCGCCTTTTACGAACCTCTAGTCGACGTGAATAGTTTTCAGAAAGAGATTAAAAGGATGGAAGAAGAAGCTAAGAGAGAGAAAAATCAGCAAAAGCAAATACAAGTAAAAGCTTAATTTATGCTTTTATTTTGAGATTCTACCGTTAGGTGTCCGAAAGCCTTAATAAACTTGTTCTGATTTCGGTTTTGATTAAATTTCTTATTATCAATATACGAATAATTTGGCAAAATGCAAAAATCTACATAAATTTTTATTTATATGTGAAGCAACTTCAAGAGAATCAAAAGAGACAGCCTTCGTATAATTCCAAAGCTAACAAATATCATACTATTCTGATAAGAGAAATTTGTAGTTTTCAATCCTATGGAGGTCATATAATTGAGATTTGAGTCAATACAAAGCCGAAAGCTTGCCTTAAATGGTCTAAAACGTTGATAGACCGATGAGAAACACACCGAGTTGAGTGAACCAATTAGCTAATCATAGTTTTTTATTTCAAATGGCAGGCTTTATGATATTTATCATTAGCCCTTAAACTTTGACTTCAGCCTTCCCCATGAGTGGGGGGGGGGTACATATATAGCAGTTAATTAATGACAGTTCATTAGCTGTCTTCTTGCTTCCCAGTATCTCTGACTTTCTGTCGTTGTCTTTAGGGCTGAACATCGAATCAGGTGGGTCTTCTCCATTTCCTCTGTAGGTTACATAGGGGGCATGTGGGTTGAGTGTATACTCCCAATCTGTGAAGGTGTTTTGCAAAGCAATCGTATCCGGTACATAATCTAAACTCAGCAACAGCTTCGATTCTTGGCCGGTCGGCTATGTTGGAGAGTGCCACTGTCCACTGTTTCTCCTTTGTTCGTGCTTTAAGTTCGTTGTACCTTGAGGTGTGGAATTCTCTTCTGATTAAGGCCTTCATTGTGTGGAAGGACATCGGCCGGTCCATGCATTGTAAAATTGTTGTACCTTTCTTAGCAAGTGCGTAAGAAAGCTCATTGCCTTTAAATCCCCAGTGACCAGGATTCCATTATAGGATCACTGTTTTGTTTTTCTCTCTCAGTAGCTCCTAGAGTTTTCTACATTCGTTTATCTCAGCTGTTTTGGGTGGCTCACTGTTTCCAATTGAATTTATTGCTGACTGTGAGTATCTCTGCTTCCAATAGAGTCTATTGCTGACTGTAAGTTCGAAATCTACTTCCAATTGAGTTTATTGCTGACTGTGAGTTCGAAAGTATACCGCTTTTGCTGACTAGAAGTATCACCGCTTTGGTGAATTTCGTATCCAGGCAACATTATTGGCATAGTGCTATCCTAATGGCCTCTATTTCTCCTTCCAAAGCGGATCTATTATGTCCCGCTGCTGCGTAGAAAGAGCGCGGACCTATTATGTCCCGCTGCTGCGTAGAAAGAGAAGAGGCGAATTCTTAGGCCCCGCTGCTGCGTAGAAAGAGAAGAGTTCAGAGTAGATCCTCTGCTGCTTAGAAAGAGAATATTTCAGAGTAGACACCTGCACCATCGTTTGCATGGTTTTCGATGCAAGACCCATCAGTGAAGACTTGGAGCCATTGATCTGCAGGATAATTGACATTGATTGTCTTGGCCTGTGAGCGCATTTGCTCTGGAGGGGTGGTTGATTTCAGCAGGATAGTTGACGTTTGTCTCAAGGGCCAGTGAGCGCATTTGCTCTGGAGGAAATTGTCTCAAGGGCCAGTGAGCGCATTTGCTGCACATTGATTGTCTCAAGGGCCAGTGAGTGCATTTGTTCTGGACCGTTTGTCTCAAGGGCCAGTGAGCGCATTTGCTCTGGAGGAACAAAGGGCCAGTGAGCGCATTTGTTCTGGAGGGGTGTTTGATACACTACAGTTGTAGTTGGGTGAAATACACAACATCAATGTTTGCTAATGGGTTCATTGGTGGAATGAAGCATTTTGGTTTGTCATCGATTTATAATGCTTTCTTCAGCTCTATGACTTTCTGTATTAGACCAGATTGCGTTTTCAGATGTCTTGGTCTATTCTCATAGGTGCTGCTAATCATAGTAGTAACTTAACTATTTACTGGATGAGGCCTCATAATTTTAAATGAATTACAGGCAGTTGAGGCATCTGGATTTAGTTAGCTATTCTTCTAAATTTTAATAGTTATCATTCCGACACCAGAATAGTTAAGGATGACCAAGATTAACAGCGCTTATTGGTCGATATCTCAATAGGGAAGGCCTTGTAAATTACGGAGGATACCTTGAAAGGGCGTGGCGGGGGATACAGAGAATCTCAGACGATGACCCAAAGTAAGAAATGTTTAAAAAATGGAAATGGAACATTCCATGAAATAATGTTGAAGACGTAGGTGCAAATTTTACCAGGTTCAAGATGTCATTTAATCGATTTAAATGTTTTTGAACTTAAGCTCATTTAACTTCACATTTTTATCGAACGAAACAGCCACATCCTCTTAGCTTCCCTCAATTTGACCTCTTAAGATAATCCTTTTAGCCCTGGTTCTCTTTACTTCCAAGTCTAGTGAATTCCGTTCTTTCTCCAGTTTTACTTACTTAAAGGCGGGGTGCGTAATAGACTTACCTCCACGTGGCGCACCCTGGGCAATGTATACTCATACGGCAAAATAGTCTATTAGCTGGCAGTTGACTTCTCCCTTCAAACTACCATCACCCCACTCTATGTCATATTCCACTACTTCCACAGTAATCACCTCACCTTGTCATATTCCACTACTTCCACAGTAATCACCTCACCTTTTTCTACCTTTGCGTCTGTTTCTTTTACATCGTTGAAACACTCTTCTCTTGTAGCGGATTGCTACTTTATTAAAACCTGACCGACTCAGAAATCTCCATGGCAGAATCTCCAACATCTAGCTAGACTCCTAGAACAAGCTAAGCTATAGCCTAGCTATAAAGGAAACAGACGTGTAGCACGGAATACGTTTATTCGGTACGTATATTGATAGCAAAGTGTGTAGTTTGGCAAAGCGATTAGTTATCGGATAACTCTGACATAATTCGTGTGCACATTAATAGCTAAAATATTTCTGAGTAGGGTTCTATAGCAGGATTTCTATTTGGTCATTGATGATGTGTCCCACACTCTACCCCCCTTGCCTTTTTTTCACTTTGATTTTTCTTCCCCTCTGTGAAGCCTAAATTCAACTAACGGGCTAATGATAACTATCGTAACGTCTGCCATTTGATATGAATAAATAAAAACTTTCTTAAAGGCTGTCTTCAGCATATATTTTTAAAAAAATTTATATATTTAGTGATGCTATGCAGTTCATGTTGAGGTAAAAACGAATTTTTTCTGGGAATCCAGCACATTTTTGGGTTAAATTCGGTGTCACCATAAAAGTTTTTTGAAGATAAACTATTATCATTGGTAATTGGAAAGCCATAATGTTGCTAAATTTTTGAAGGGAGCACTTGAAGTTGCCGCTGATCGGCACGCTGTGTACAAACAGATCGTCTCCTTTCTACAAGAAATTGAACACAATTAGTAACGTTTTAAATACATTTCTTATT